GCCGGGTTAGGTCAACATGGTCGACAGCGGCGTGTTCAAAAGCGCAAGCGCGTCGCACTCGCTCAGCGACTCGGCGATCGGTGGCATCTGCCTCGGCATTGCGTTTGCGCTGCTCGTCTTCGCCCTGCTCTCCCTCGTCCACATGCTGACCAAGCTCGTCCGTGGGTCGGCGCAAAAGTACATTCGCCGCGCGCTCAACTACAGCGGGTACCTCAACATCTTTATCGGGACCGCCATTACCTTTTGTGTGCACTCGTCGACCGTCGTTACGTCGACGCTGACGCCGCTCGCCGGCCTGGACCTGATCGCGCTCGATCAAGCGTATCCACTTATCATCGGCGCCAACGTTGGCACAACCATGACCGCGCTCCTGGCGTCGTGGGTGACAGGCAAGTACGACGCCGTCGAAGTCGCGCTCGTGCACTTTTGGTTCAACATCTTTGGGATCTTTCTCTTTTACCCGATCCCGGCGACGCGGTACCCGATCCTGCACTGGGCCGAGCGCATTGGGTACTACAGCGCGCGGTGGCCGCTAGTGGCACTGTTATTCCTCCTCGCTGTGTTTATCGTGATCCCGGGGATTGGGTTTGGGATGGTCTACTTGTACAAGGGCAGCGCGACCGCGGTCGCGTTTGGAATCACGCTGTCGGCAATCGTCGTCGTTTGTTTCGCGGCGTTTTACTGGTGGTACTGGCGCCTCGACGGGCGCGAGCGGTGGCACTACTTCTTGGCTGTCAAGGCGGAAGACCACCGCATGCGCATGGAGGCCGTGCGCCGTGCCCGTGAAGACGACATGGTGTTCATGTCTTAGTTAGTTGTGCGGGCATGTAGTCTTGACACGTGTATATTTAAAGTTGGGATCAACTTGGACAGATCAACTGGTGCCAAGCCAAAGCCCACATTGCCGACACGACGGGGCTTTTTGCCCCATTGTCGTGGCACCTTGGATGCATGCTGCACCGTGGAATACGTCGCCGCTGGTGGGGCCGTCAAGACATCTGCGAGGTTCAGCTGTGGGTGTTGACGTTGCACCCATCCATCAAGCGGGATGGGACGCCAAACGTACGTTCAGGGTTACGCCTGTTTCAGCTATTCCCGCCCACAAGAGGGTGAACGTGACCTTGCCTAGGCGTATCGCCCCCGTGCTTCCTCGGTCGGAAGTGCCGTTTGGCGGCGAAGCTGTTCTTCCGCGCTGTCGATCGTCGAGGAATTGCTGGTGTCGTATTCAAAAAAATTCAGCCAAAGTTTCAAGAAAATTCGAAAATTGTGCTCAAGCAAATTCCGGATACATATACCGGATAACGTCCTCGGGTAGCTCACGATCTCGCGCCACGTCGAGTATGCCGACGACGTCGCGAACTGCGCAATGGCCGACAGGATTGCTGATCCTGGGCACGCTCTTCCACGCTATCTACGTGCTCAGCATCTTTGACATTTACTTCAAGTCTCCCGTCGTGCACAGCATCCCGACAGTCGACGTCATGCACGAGTCGTACCCCCCTCCAGCACAACGCTTGGTCATCTTCATTGCTGACGGCTGCCGCGCAGACACGTTCTTCGAAGCAACCGATAGCTACGCCGTCTTTGCGCACTCGCGGCTCCGAGAAGCCAACTTGACGTCCTTGATCCACAGCCCGTTTCAAGATGACGAGCCGACCCGCGCCCCATTCCTTCGACACATCATCAAACACGTCGGCAGTTGGGGCGTCTCCCACACGGGGTAAGTTCCAGTTCTAGCGATCAATCTGGATGCAGCATCTTGTAGTGTGCCCACTGAGTCGCGACCTGGACACGTGGCCATGTTTGCCGGAATGTACGAAGATGTTAGCGCGGTCACACGTGGGTGGCAGGAGAACCCCGTCGATTTCGACTCGATCTTCAACCAAAGGTGCAATCCGTGCATGTGAACACGGATGCATTGCTCATCCTCATCCATGCAGCTCGCACGCATGGCTGTACGGCAGCCCAGACATCGTGCCCATGTTTGCCAAGAACGTCGAGCACGTTCATGAAAAACATTATTCGAGCGCAGACGAAGACTTCGCCAAAGACGCCACCGCCTTGGACACGTGGGTGTACCACAAAGTGCAGGTCCGTTGGACCGCTTCTCCTGGATGAAGGCCACCACTGCCTTGTGCATCGTCGTCACGACGGCACGACGTGGCAGATTGAGTTGGGCTATTTGTGCGGCTGGCGACGATGGAAAGCTGCCTGATACAGCAATCGCTTCTACTGCTTTTGAGTTGTCTACGACTAGCTCTCATGTATCCTGACGTGGACGTGGTGTGATGAACCTGTGCTGCATGGCGATCATTTTTCGTACGATCGAACAGCTCACACATCGCGATTGTGCAGGTGCTCTTGGACCAAGCAGCGCGGAATCGCACGCTCTTTGACCAGTTGCACTCGAACCAAGTCGTGTTCTTCCTGCACTTTCTTGGGATCGACTCCAACGGCCATGCGCACCGCCCCCACTCGCGAGGTTTGTTCATTTTGATGGGGAGCAGGCCAAAAGCCGCGCATTTGATAGAGTACGTGTCGAACGTGGCGCTCGTGGACCGCCTGGTCGAAGGGATCCATGGCATGCTCCAAGGTACGCTCGTCTGACATGTGCGCTACGGGAGGACCGACCATAATCGTAGCCTTCTTCCGCGACAACAAGACTGCGTATATCTTTAGCGCTGATCACGGGATGAGTCAGCAAGGCTCCCATGGCGATGGCGCCCCAGCCAACACTCGGACGCCGCTTATCGTGTGGGGCGCCGGCGTGCAGGCCCCCAAAGAAGCCACGAACGGTGCGTGTGTTTCGCCAGGATGGAGCAGTTGCTACAGCGTTTTGTCCAGACGTGGACGGGTTTGCCATGGACGTGCCAACCCACTCTCACGATCAAGTGTACGAACAACTCAAAGCTCACGCGGCGCAGGAAGCAGACGCTGTCCGGTTCGCGAACTTTACCCGAGACTCGTTTTATCGAGGTTTCGATGCTCTAGCCTCTGGAACCTGACAAAGTTTGTGCGAAAAGATGTGCTCCAGGCCGACATTGCCCCGTTGGCCGCCGCGTTGCTGGGCCTGCCGTATCCGAGGAATTCGGTTGGCGTATTGCCGTTTTCGTACTTGGAGCAAGGCCTGTACCGCGCGCGCGCAGTCGTGTTCAATGCCAAGTCGCTGTTTGTCCATGCGTCCACCCGCCAGGCGCAAAAGCAGCGTGCGACGTGGTCGATCTTTTTCCGACGATTCCCACGGCTCGACCAGTGTCTTGGTCAGTTCGCCACGATCGAGCGCGCGTTTGGTGCCAAAGCGTACGCCGACATTGAAGCGCTGAGCCAGCGCATCATCGGCGACGCCCTCGCGGGGTTGCGGCACTTTCAGCGGTGCGTATTGTTGGTTGTATGGACTTCGCGCCTCCAGCACGCTCGTGGGGCGAGCGATGTCCCGAGCTACGGCGTGCTGTTGGCATGCCTGGAATCGTGTGGACGTCATGCCTCTTGTGACGTTGTAGGTACGACTGGTTCGTCCTCATGGCGATCATTACGTTGGGCTATGTCGGCTGGATTGTTGTGCTGTATGTGGCGGTGGCAAAATGGCCGTTTTCGGCGGCGTCGCTCGTCCGGCACTCTGACGGGACATGGGACATGAGCTCCGCCACAACGGTGTCCGTCGGCAGTGCTGCCATGTTTCTGTACAATCGCCAAGCAACGCCCATGTACTACCTGTACCTGTGGTTTCCCCTTGTCTTTTGGCGATATCTGTACAGAGAACGCCGATTTCTGGTACGATCGCACTCGACTGTCAACGTGGTGAATTCGTTTAGGTGGCCCAAACTGGCATCGGGTGGCGAGTTGTCGCGCTCGTCGGTGTCAGCGTCGAGCTCATTGTGTGGGGGTACTCGACGCGGAGCATCTTTTCCGCCCTCTGCGTCGTTCTGGGCGTGTATTCGAACTGGAGCAGGCACTATGACAAGTCTATCGCTCGTACGTCGTTAACGACGTAGCCATGTTCGACATGGGGAGGCCAAACAGTCATACACGTAGGCGCATGGCTGGTGGCGTGCATGGTCCTGGCGCTGTTTCCACTGGCGCCATTGAACTATGGGGATGCGCTCGGGCTGGTCGTGGCAGGTTTGTCGAATGTGCTGCTGTGCTCGACAGGGGTTGTTGCACTAGTGTCGTGAGAGTGTGCTTCCTTGCTTTGTCTTGTCATTGCAACCACGGCGGGATAGCGACATTGGATGTCACTGCATGTTGGTTGCATGTATAGTTTGCTGCGAATCCGATGTCGGTCACCCCGACGAGTTCCCTCTTATCGCGTGTGCTTCCTTAGGCGGGTGCGTGGGGCTGATCGGCGGAGCCGTGATGTGGTGGTCAGCAGCGCCATCATCGCCCATCCACGGCAGCACTCTGCTCTTTCTTGCGCTCGCCATGGGGTCCCTCCTCGGCACGATGCACGCGCTGTCGTCGAAAGATAGCCAGCTTGCGCCTTGGATTTACCTCAATTGGGCACGGCGATTCCGCGCTCATGCACCTATTTCATCGTCGACATGCCTAGGTGGCCGGGTTCGGACCGATTCTATCGCTGTTTTGCCTTCCACCGCAGCCGCTACAGGCTCGCCTCGTGCAGATCATGGCGTGCGTTGCCCCGCTGTATTTGTTGCTCTCGATCTCGTACGAAGTGCTGTTTTACGTGTCGTTTTGTGTGTCGTTGTGGCTGTGGGTCCGCGTCGAGACAACGCGCGGCACGTCAAGCAGTCTATCATCGTCGCCACGTCGGTGTGGGCTCGGAGGTACTCACGGCCAAACCCCGACGGTGCTCGAATTCAATCCATGTACGGTGGAATGGTAGGAATCGATGCCGTTCGGCCTGTCGTCACGCGCCATGACGTCCGCCTCGCGCTGTCGTACTTGGTGTTTTTCAAACTGAGCTTCTTTGCCACGGGCAACATTGCGTCCATGAGCAGCTTTGAGATCTCGTCCACGTTTCGGTTCGTCACGGTGTTTGACCCGTTTGTGATGGGAGCGCTGTTGGTGCTCAAGATTTTGCTGCCCATGGTGCTTGTGACGTGCGCGTTTCACGCGCTGCTGACGATCCAGGGCCGCCGTCCGAATCAGTACGTCGCTCGTCATAATGCTCAACTGTCTGACGCGTCACGAACAACGCATAGATTGTTTCTCCTGGTGGTGCTGCTCTCGGACGTGCTGGCGCTGCACTTTTTCTTCTTGGTCAAGGACGAAGGCAGCTGGAAAGAAATTGGCAACAGCATCTCGATCTTTGGCATCGTGAACGTCAAGATGGTGTTCATCCCGCTGCTCTTGATCGTGGCCAGACTGCTCTTCCGTCACTCCCCCGACCCGCATCGCCACTTGGAGTAGCAAGGACACGTGCCCTTTTGACACCGCGAAAGAATCGTGGACCGTCTCTTCTCGGAACACCCCGTCCGTTGACGGCACGTCCACCTCGTCCCATGAACTCTAATCTATGCGGCCACCCCCCCCCACTCCCTCTCCTTGTTCGTTGGATTCGATGATGGGACTATCCACACGCCAGTTTAAAAAGACCGGCCGCTGTCGTTTTCCTGCGCGCGCATGCGTCTGTCCAATGCTGCTCAGTCCATCCTGTCGTGAAAACTACCATAAACCTTCGCCTCTCGACGAGAATGCAGCAGGTGGTATCGCTTTGCCCGCAGTGACGACGGATGGCGGTGATGGTTTTGCTGGAAACCGTCGACGTTCATGGACACGATGCCCATGTACCCGCATGGCATGCGGAAGTGCGGCACAGCCAACACCAACGGCGTTTTCCTGGCAAGTCGCTTGGTCCCGGAAGAGTGTGCAGCAGCACGAATATATTTTCGCCATCACGGTGGGCCCATCGACCGCGACCTTGCTCTGTTATTTGATGTCGACAAACGCCACAATGACGGTGGTGTCGTCGATCACTTGCTCTTCTTTCATCCAGCGTCGGTTCGCCTCGAGGATGAGCACATCGACCTACAAGAGCCGCCGGTTCATGCCCCGCCACGACCGCCGGGGGTCGCACCGCTTGTTTGGGGTCGGTGTGGGGCGCAATCATCTTGATCACTTCGTCGTCGCTCATGAACTCCCACAGCCCGTCCGTCGCAATGACGAGGCACCGGTCTGTCGTGTCGAGCGTACGGACAAAGAATTCTGGCTCCGAGCTCACCTGCACAAAAAAAACGACAGTCACAATTCGTAGCCATCCACCATCACGCGCATTCGCAGCCGTCCGTTTGAATGCGATTCAGACATTGCGTAAAGTACAAACCCCTGCAGTGTGCGCGACGGCGTCGCCGAGGCTGCGACTCATCGCGAGCCCAGGGACGTCCATGTGGCCGAGCCACACGCGCGGCGGACCGTCGATCCCTACCGTCGTTTTTAGCTTCCCACGGCACGCAGACTCGAAAAACCCATCGTCAGTTGGACGACACGGGTAGGTGCTTCCAACGCCCCGCCCCCCCCGCACTGATCCAACGACTCTCGAGCATGAAGCTGGGCCACGTACCATCGTCGTACTCGACAGCAAACACACGTCCCCCGGCGGCCAAGATGCGCGCCTTCTCGGTGGGGAGGTCGGGTTTGTGATCTTGAGAAATGCTAGTCGCCGTCAGGATTCCGGCTTGCATGAAGCCTCGTGTGATGCGCGAGTCGCCGACATTGCCGACAATGAGGAGGCGGTCGCGAATGACGACGACGACGCCCGTGCTTCCGCTAAACTCTGTGTCGATGCTGGCATCGCGGATCACTCGCTTCTCGACGGCGTTCAGGGCAAACGAGATCGCCGCTACGTCCACGTCAGATCACGGCACCCACAACGGGCTGTCGTACCCTGAATGCCCGCCGTGTCTTTGGCCACGTCCCCTGTCGGCGCAAACTGCGCATGGTTGAACAGTTCGGTCGGAAAGTGCGCGCGAAAGTACTGCGACACGCCGTCGCCGGCCTCCCCGTGGCCATCGAATACCCCCAAGAGCAGCGATTTGGACGGCGCGTGCATTTGCATGATCATGCTGTCTTGGTTCTTCTTGCGCGGGTTGTACGGAGCATACCCTTTCTTGCTCACGCCGGCGTAGCACCCGATCGTACTCGTCCCGTCCTGAACGCCGTCTGCGTCGGCAGACGTCGACACCGCTGCCAGCCCTTCCACGAGCTTATTGTCGCTCACAACGCTCAGTCGGCGCCGCGCCATTTGAATTTCACCGTCGTTGGTCTACAACAATACCATGGGTCGTCGTCGCGAGCTCTGGAGCTCGATCCGCTGTACCTTTTTCGTCGCAATGCCTTTGGGCGACGAAACGTTGGATGCGGTGGCTTCTTGCAGCTTGACGCGGGAAATCGCGGCGGTGGCGGCCGTCGCCGACGTTGTCGCGGGCTTGGCAGACGTGGAGGACTTTCGGGCCGACATGGTGGGAGGGGTGTCGACTTGGACGCTTAGCAACGACTGAATCGTGTGCGAAGCGGCGCCGTATTTATAGCTCCACCGACCCTGCCATCGTTTCACCAGGATGTCATTGGGCCAGCATCGTCGCGCCGTTTTAAGATGCGGAAACAACCTTTGGTCGATCGCGAGCCTCTAACAACGTATCATGGAACGCCGAATATCACATCGCTCAAATGTCTCTACTCCACCTTCCTCCCCCTCGTGGTTCAAATCCAGTCGGCAGGCAGTGTCGAGGCTTGGGGGCTGGTTTTCCTTGCTGGACCATACCCTCGTTTAGTTGGAACAGCGCTACTCTGGCGGCCGCGGACTGTTCACTGTCGCGCGAGAACTGGGTGGTCGCCTCAACCTTTAGCAAGCCCCAAAGCTACGCCATCGTCCACGACGCACGCAACTCCAAGGCAGAGGGGGTACAACAAACGGGGGCGCGCAGGAGCGCATGGGTCCCCCGTCATATAACGACGCAGACGTGTGAATCCGTGGCGTGTGCGAGCGGGGCGGCGGCGGGTCGAACAAATTGTGTGAAGGCACATGCAAAGTTAGTATTGTGTGATGAATAATCAAAGCGTCGTCGTTTGACCTTTCGTCAGCGCTTCGAGCTTCTTTTCGAGCTTCTGTCGTCCCGTGAGCTCGGTCGCGCCCCCCGCGGGGGGTTCCATCGCGCCGTACGTGCCGCCGCGGATGGCGCGCAGGCGCTTTTGCAGGACAATGCCACACACGGCCATGGGGAGAAGGAAGAGCGCGTTCATAAAGACAGACAGCGCAATGTTGAGGCACGCGCCGAGCAAGTCCTGGCACAGGATGGTATGAACGATCGCGTACTCCTCGTTGATCCAGCCGCATCCAGGCGCGCCTGTGCACTGCAGCGCGTTCACTTGGGTCCACACGTTCAAATCCGCCATCGGGGTCAGCGTCGTCGTCACAAACTTTTCCAGGCGTTGGGCGTAGGCGCGGGAGAGTTCAAGCACCGACTTGTCGCCGCCCTTCCAGCCTGCAAAAGTCGTCCGCGTCATGCTGGCAGACAGCGAAACATGGAGAGCATTTTCGTACCCACAGAGTTGGGATAGCTCACACCGCCAAGGAAGTCCTGGCGCATGCGCATGAGCTTGTCTTGGATCGAGTTGCGCGCACGGGTGTACACGAGAGCGTCTTGGAATAGGGTGTAGCAAGGCGTGGAGACACCGCCCGTGCATCGGACCTTCATGTAGCACAGCGCCGGGTCCCTGCATCAAGCAGAGCATCACCAAGTGCACTGCCTCGCTTGATTGCGATCGACACGTACGCATCGGAAGTGCACGCGGCGGACGGTGCCTCGTTAAACAACGTCCACGGACGATCCAAGACGGCGTAGTTGGCCATCGCCGTCATGTCGGACCCGATCGCAGTCGCCGCCGCGTTGACAATGTCGTAGTGCTTTCTACATCGCGCGGCCGTCGTGAGCGCCAACCATGGAGTGTGTGGTCCTAACGGCGTACACTGGGTCCCATCCAAACTGGGTCTCGTTGTACGACATGATGTCCATGCCGAGCGCGCTCAGCGACGTAAACCGTGCCATCATTCCAAGCTATCGACTCGCATCAACACACGGTGACCACTCATGGTTGGCGGCGCCGCGTCCGGGCCACACAATCGTTCATACCTGCTTCGCGACGCGGTAGCGTTCGGTAATTTCGCACGATTTCGCGTGCATGGAGGCCATTCCTAGCGCTGCCAACGTGCTCGTGCCTACAGTGCACACAGTCGGTCGAGGTGACGACGACAAGTGGACGGAGAGCGACCTACCCTTGATGCACGCGCCGACGACGCGGCTCGTCTCGGCGGAAAAGTACGGCGTCATGTCGTTCATGACCATGTCCAGGTACTGGCACCCGTCAAACCACACGGCCGACACAGCAATCAAGCACGACGCAACGACAAACGAGATGATGCACAGGATGACGCCGAGGCCCCACGACACGTGGAGCAAGTGGACCCACTTGGTCTTGTCCTTGCAAATGCCCTTGAGGAACCCGGCCATGCCGAGAAACGCGACAAACAGCCCCAAAATGAAAATGCTCAGGACGAGCCCCGATCGCGTGTACGAAATGTTGTCAAACGTAGCCTGCACCGACGCCACGGTGGCCCCCGAGTCGGACGTTGCCGTCGCGACAATCGTCAGCGCGTCTTCTGCGTCGTCCGCCGCCGAGAACACCGTCGTCGCGCCGGTGTACACAGTCTCCCGCGTCATGCGGAACGTCGATTCGAGCTGATCGGCGATATCGCGCCACGCAGTCAACGTTGTCTTGGGGGCGACGGACGTGCCGCCGCAAATGACGCCCGGGCACGTTAAGCACAAGTCGCCGTTTTGAATGCACGTCGTGGGGAAGCCCGATGTGTACGTCGCGTCAAAGTTTTCCCCGATCGCCTGCAAGACGACGTTGCGTGTGGTGGGTGCCGAGCGACATCGACGTGGACGACCGACGTACCTGCAACTGGCGCGCTCCAGTGCCAACCCACGACGTGTCGGCAAGTACAGACTGGACTTGGGCCGTCGTGATGCCCTGCAAGTCTTGAATCGCACGCAACGGCGTGAGCAAGTTCTTCGAGTTCATGTTGAGGTTGGTGATGACTTCGGTCAGCACGTCCAAGAGATCGTGCATCTAAAGAGTCGTCCAGCCAGGTCAGGACGATCGGCGCCGTGGGAAGCATGCGTACGCGAGCAGTGACGGTGTTGTTTTGAACGTATGCCGCCGCTGAGCAAATGAAGATCACGACGGAAAAGATAAAAAACGCGACGCCCGGAGTCATGACCCCACACCACGTGTACCCACGCTCAACGGGATCGCGGCCGCCACATCGATTGCAAAAGCACCGCATGATGAAGAAGAGCAGGAAACCGAGGAACGTGAGCACTGCAAACGCGATCCTACAACACACAAGGCGCGTGAACAACGGCCGACATTGCGGCGGACGTACCCTGGGCCAGCGTACGGGGCCAGAGACTGGGCGTAACTCTCTGTTACCCATCGGTTGGCAGCATCAATTTGGTCTTTAGTAAAGCGAGGCAAGCGGGGCTATCGCCAGAGCTGTGGGATCAAGCAGGCCACGCCATTGCAAGAGGATACCTTGGTGGGGTCGGCTGTTGGCCAGAGGCAGTTGGGAAGGCGCTCGCACATGTTCTTGGACGCGCACGACCCATCGCCAGGAATGACCATGCACGTGTTGGAGAAATTGCCTTTGTTGCGCTGGGCATGTGGGCTATTGAGCGGCACACACCGATCGAGGTCTTCGGCCGTCGATGTCAAGTAGCAGAACGTGATCATCATGTTGGCCAGCGACGAGTTGTAGTACTCAGTGGATTCGGACCGCATGCCTTTCATCGCATTGACTGCGCTCGTGCCTTTGAGCACCGCCCGTGCTTCATCAAGGGTATCGAGCGCAGACATGTTGACGTTATCGAAACCACCGACGTCGCGCTTGGTTACGACGATCGGTGGGACCGAGGCCGTGAGAGCCGAGCATTGCGCCGACAACGCGGCAAAGCCCGGGACGGAGCATCGGTCAGCAGGAGGCCACGCTGGGTCGGCGGCCAGTGCCACCGCTACGCATGGGAGGAGCCACCGTTGCATGAACCTAGGCAATCGAACAGTGCGGCCACGTTGGGCTTCTCGCACGGGTTATTTTGGGCCGGTCAGCCATTGATTGGGTCAGTGGCCTCTATTTTTAGCGTGAATTCTCTCTGCCAATCACATGACGCTATTTTGGATCAGCGCCATTTGATTCGTCAACGCGTTGACAAGCTAAACCACCCCAACCCCGAAACCCCGGACCAAGATCGCCAATTCCAGCGGAGGACGATGCAACACCGCCACCACCGTTCGAACAGCGTGCGCTTCACAGCCCACAGAAAGCGATCGCATCTTGCATCAGACGGCAGCACACAACAGCGCCGAGAACGTCCCCAACAGTCCATGATATGCCCCATGTAATCCCTGGAGTCAAAAGGAGATGCCAGTGGCATGATGCGATGCCCGTTGCTCGATATGAACTATCGCTACTATGTAGTGGGCGATCGAGGGCCAATGGGTCCTGCCCCCGCATGAATTCCCCACGGTTCAAATTCGTACAGCCATCCTGACGATGGCATCGCAGTGGTCACAACGCCGTTCGTGCCAATGCCAGAAGGGTCGCCAAAGTATTTGAAAGACATGCGACAAACCAGTCGCATGGAGTTGGGGCTTTGGAGTTGGTGAGGCACAGGTTGAAATCTCATGGCACAACAAACCCTCAACACGTCGAACAAATTCCTTGACGGGATCGACACCACGCGCTCCGACAACGTTTTGGATGCCTTGTGTGCAGCTGTTGTATGCGATCGCAACCCGCCGAAGGAGGATACAGTATGCATCCAACACCCCAAATGCAGTCAAGCATCGTGAGGGCGAATGGCGGGGCTGTCGATGTGGCTGGCACCGTCCTTGCTTCGCGTTTCGACCGCTAAACAGAGCACGTGACGTCTTGTACAGCCCGCACAGGACAAACCCAGCGATCAAAGTGGCGTGCCCGACGTTATGGCTCGCGAGCACGCTAACCCGTACGCTCCGTGCGAGAACGTGGGATCGAACTGGAAAGGTGTCGATGTTGCCGTCACTCCCTTGGATGTTTGCCGTTGTGCACCCACGGCGTCACGTCGAAATCTCAACGGAACTTTACGAGTGGCGCTGCATCGAATTCTACAAGTCGACGATCAAGCGATTGCCACAACACGAGGCACATCGTCGAAATCCCCTCAACATTCACTTCCTTGCAGAAGAAAGCTCCGTTGAATTCGTTGTGCGATGCATTTGTGCTGACCACAATCTCCAACTTGGCGATTATACTTGCATGCGCCTTGTCTCGCGTGAGGCAGGACGATCTCATGGCGAGGTGGCCACCGTAGCCGGGCTTGGCCGCCGGCCTTGTGCATGGGACACTGCCAACTTTGTGCATGAGGACCCGTCCGGCGATCCACGTTTGCGTCGTACACGTGGGTCACCCGCCACCTCGCTCCAGCACGCTCACGAGGGACAGCTTTATCTCCGAGACGTACGATCAAGCTGCTGGGTCATCGACGAAAGGCAAATTTCCTACTAGAATGCATGTTTTTGATGAGAGAACACGGGAATGCATGTATTTCCAGTTGGATAGTTCCTATTTCCTTTCCGGTTTTCCGCCACAACTAGGATCTTTCCTTGGAAATGCCCAATGCGTATTCAAATTCCCATACCGTTGAGTCACGACATCATTCGTTGTCACAGGTTTGGATAAAATAAGAGAGGTTTTTCAGACACCCATTATCCGGTCAGTGCCCTCTTTGCTCTTAGCCACCCAGCGAACACCGCCGATACCGCCGCCATGTCCGTGACGGTGCTCATTAATGGCTATGGCATACTCCAGGACCCGCACAACCGCTTCCCAGACATCTTTGTAGGGCATTCCATCCTCTACGGTGATCTCCGTGCGCGAAAAGCTCACCATGGCGTTGTATAGGTGTTCGTGTTGACTGTGGCTCAGCAGCAGAATGTCGCGACGACGTCGTCATGGACAGTGTACCGACGCCTCGAGATGTTTGAGCAGCTGAGTTTGAGCATTGCGTCGGAGTTTCGTCACTTGAACCTCCCGCCGTGCCCACTTGTGGCTACCGCAAACGTGTCTAACATGCAGGTCATCGAACGATGCCGCGACGAGTTGTCGCGGTGGTTGGCGCAACTGCTGAGTTACCCCTACGTGAACTCGCTCATGCAGTCGCGCAGTTTCGTCGACTTCATCTCGGCCGAAGCCAACACGATCCCGGCAGGGCTCATGTTGTCGCAGCACTTTTTCCCACAAGCCATGCATCACTCGTCATCACTCAATCTCCCGATTCCAGCCAGCCAAGCCAACATCGGGGAAATGGACGTACGGACACGATTCCATGCTGACGTAGACTGCGCGATTGCCCGCTAAATTGGATTCTCTAGATGGACTTTATGTTTTCCGCCGACGACGAAGCTTCCGGCGCGAAGGACGACGATGTATCCATCGATATCGCTCGCCGAGGTATACCTCATGTTTGGGTGACTTGATAGATCTTTCACTATGACGCGAACGGTCCCCCGATGACGCCCGTCGCGACTTCAGGGGCGGCGGCGCCGTCCGCCGCCGATGGCAAGGTCACATTGGACGACTTTCATTTGGTCCGTGTGATTGGGAAGGGCTCGTTTGGCAAAGTTATTTTGGTGCGCAAGAAAGACAGCGGTATCGTGTACGCGATGAAGGTGCTGCGCAAGGAGAACATTATCAAACGCAACCAAGTGGAGCATACTCGGACCGAGCGCCACGTGCTGGGCTACGTGCGCCATCCGTTTATCGTGGGTATGACGTTCTTGGACTTGTCGTCGATTCATAAGGGCGATCGATGCGCAGGCCTGAACTACGCTTTCCAAACCGTGGACAAGCTCTACTTTGTGCTCGACTACTGCGCCGGTGGCGAACTCTTTTTTCATCTGGGCAAAGTCCAGCGCTTCAAAGAGCCCCGCGCCCGGTTTTACGCGGCCGAAATCACCCTCGCCATCGAATACGTACACAACTTGGACATCATTTACCGTGACTTGAAGCCGGAGAACGTGCTGTTGGACGAAAATGGCCACATTCGCTTGACGGACTTTGGGCTGTCAAAGGAAGGCATCCAGGTGGGTGCCAGACGCACGCGTACATGGTGCTCTTCCCGACCGTGCCGCGAGGCTGTGTTCTTTTTGGATTGAACAATCGACTGACTGTGGAGGGTGGCAGGACGACTTTTCCGGCGCGAATTCATTTTGCGGGACACCCGAATACTTGGCCCCCGAGATTCTCAATCGATCGGGGCATGGCCGCGCCGTCGACTGGTGGTCCCTCGGCGCATTGTTGTACGAAATGCTGACTGGGCTGCCGCCGTTTTACTGCCGGGACCGGTACGATGGTTTCCATCCAGTGTCGAGTGTCATCGGGTTGTAGGGACAAGCTGTTTGAGAAAATTCGCCAAGGCGAGCTCACATTTCCCAAGTACCTTAGCCCGGCAGCTGTGGACCTCTTGAGCAAATTGCTCGAGCGGGACCCAACCAAACGCCTTGGGACTGGTCCCACGGATGCAGGTACGTTTATTTCACGGTGGTGCATGGCATGTTGGGGTCGACGACTCGTTGTCTGGGGTTTTTTGGGATGCCGTGTGCGTGGCAAATCGAGCGGTGGAGGATGGCCGAATGATTCAATTTGTTTGATGCGTGGTGGAATGCTACTGTCGACGCCATTGACGCAACTCGACGCGGTGTGCAGGCGAGATCAAGTCGCACCCGTTTTTCAACGAGATTCAGTGGGAGCAACTGGCGCTTGGCCAAGTGCCGCCGCCGTGGCGTCCGTCCTTCAACGACGCGCTGGACACGTCCCAGTTTGACAAAGAGTTCACGGACATGCCGATCTTTAGCCCTGACACGCGCGGCGGGGGCATGATGGGCACCAGGTACGCCGATGCATGGCGAGTCGAAGCGTCATCGATTGCATGCGTAGTGTCGGGCGCCGGCACATGTATCGAGACACGGAAGGGCTGTTTCAAGGGTTCACGTACTCGGAGGAAGAATCGTTTATGGAGCAAGCCAACCCGTCGGCTCGAAAGGGCCACCGCATGATGCCCCCGAGCCAGTTTTAGAATGTACCAACAACCAAAGCTAACAAAGAAACCGAGAAGTCAAACGATATCGATGGGGTCGCCAACACCACAGGACGGATCCATCCGCCACCGATACGCCACTCGACTGGTCAGACCTCGTGGGAAGGTGGAGGAACGGATGACTTGGCCCCGGTGCGCATGGTTCGAAATGAGATGCAGAGTGCGCAAGAGCCGACGTAGTGCGCTCGAACACTCGACGTCGCCAAAAAGCACGACCCCACAAGTGGTGCTCCGAACCATGCCAAGCGACTTCTGCAGGTCTGGCACGATGCTGCCTGTATCAACGGAAGTCATTGATATGGGCAGCATCCCCTTGCCACTTTACGCGGCATGCAGAGCTTCCGGTGGTAGATGGACACCTCTGGCAGCCTTGGATTATTCCACCACCGCACGTCGATGGAGCTGCCCGTCATTGTGCATGTCCCAACCGGGGAATGTATATATGCAACTTGTATTCAAGCTGTCCTGTGCGACCGGGAGGGGCGGCGGGGGGCAGCTAGCTACACTTGAAGCGCAGGGGATGTGGCCGGGACTCGGTTCGCTTTCTTGGCAGTCGACGCTTCGACGTCCGTTGCAACGGGGGGTCGCTGTCTTGCGCCCTGGATGGGTCATGCATCAGTTCATGCTTTCACGAATCCATCATCCAACCTTGACTTTGGTCTTTCCGCGCAGGCGCTTCTCCAACACGATCGCCATGACAATCATGGGCAGGAGGCTGAAGCACATGAGGAAGATGCACAGCGACACGGTTAGCGTCGACCCGACGAGGTTCGAGCACACGCTCGTGTAGAGTAGGTTTGTGCTCTTGGCGAGCCACGAGCATTGCATCGAGCACTTGACCTGGTCGACGTGAAGCAGCATGTTGCCGACCGCGCCGTTTTGGAGCGCGCGGAGCGGGCCGTTGCCGAGCGCGACTAACGCGGCAGTGTATTGCAACGCCATGTCACGAATGGGCGGCAGAGATCCTGGCCAGGACGGCGAATGCACGACGGGTGCCGCGCCCGCAAAGTCGCCCTGCCGCCAACGACATGCGTTGCTCAGAGCCATGGAATACGTTTTGCTAGCACAATACCACGACGGGAAATCGCTCTTTACCTGAACTTGCTGCAGCTCGAGTTCGATTTGATCCACGGCAACTTTGTAGTCGTGCGCGCGTGTAAAGTCTACTAAGCATGTCGTCGTGGGGTTGCAATAGCTCGCCATAAAGCACGTAGCCGCCTAGACCGTCATCCATGGTGACGCAACCACCTTTGTCTAGCTCGAGCAATCGAGATACCGTGGTGGGGCTGACTGCGCAGGCTTGACCAGCGTCCGGCATGCTGTAGAGGACCCACGGCGTTTGGATGTTGGCTCTCGTGAGGCCGGGGGTCGTCGCAGCCGCTTGCGCAATGTACTGGTCGGCAATCGCGGCAGACACGCCGAATGTCGACAGGGTAAAGCTAGAGCAGGAACGAAAAAGGAAGCGCCCTCGACCGCACCAAAGCTCCATGCATGGCAGCAGGTGGAGGGAGGCTTACCTGCTCATTTGGTCGACGAGTGGATCGAGGGCCACCAACGTCGATGGCCCCGTTGTAGCAGCCGTCAAATCCGACGGCAGTGAGCATGAAAACGCCAGCGACGACGCAAGGTCGAGCGCGTCGAGGGGGCTTTCCCCCGCGTAGCAGCTGTCGAGGGTTTTGGCGAGCTGGCCGGGCCACAGCGACTCTACGACCGACGCAGAAAGTCATGACCGGCTGTGTTTGCCATGCCAACGACTACGCCCGTACCGACGTCGTGCTGCACTTCAACCACGTAGTGGCAAGCGTCGTTGCCGAGGATCGCAAGAACGAGCATGGTCGCGGACACGAGAAATCCGACAAAGCTCACGAGCGCGCTGAGGCCCCTTGAAGGTGTCGGCGGTCGTCAGCACGTCAAAGGCAATGATTGCATGCAGCATACCAGCTCAGATGCATCAGCTTGATGAGCCGCGCCGAGTTGGAGTAATAACCCGCGCAGAGCGCAATGCACCCTACAAAAACGACCGCGTCTACCACCCCGATACACCGGACATGCGATACGAACCAAGGAGCGCCCCGACCAAGCCCAAGACGAAAAGCGCCAAGATCACTTCGACACGATATTCCGCTATGCGCTTGAAGATGTCCCACGCCGACTGAAGGCTGGTCTGACTCGCTGTTGCACGGGTCTGCACCATCGTCAAGAGCGCGGACGCGGCATTCATGGCGCCACCGAGGGACGCTTGGGCGCTGCCACGGGGCTGAGGCTGGCATCGTGGAGGCTGGCTTACCTAGCGACGCTGTTTTGCATGGTCTTCGTCGACCGATCGACAGCTTCGTGGACGGTGTCGAGGCTCGCGATCCACTGCGTCAACGCTGCGGGAAAGTCGGCGCACATGGACGGCGGGCATGCAATGCACACAGCGCTCGTGCCAGGGGTGCACCCGATGGGATATGGCCCCATGGTTGTCTTCATGGTGGTCGTGAGCGTCGATGTGACTCGCTGGAGCGCCGAAAAGTCCTCGTGGACCCATTCCGTGTCGGATACGTCTGTGCAACAGCATCATCACAACGAGCCCATGGACACCGACCGGCGGGAAAGGGGGATCTCGGGGGTACCTTGGCGTATGCGATCGATGGTGGAATTGAGTTCCTGCTGGACAGCTCGAAGAGGGGCTAACGTGTTGGCTACGTAGCGGGGCCCCGTTAGCCGTCGAGAGTTGTAGGGGACGTTGGGAAGAGTGACGGCGGTGCTAGCTCCGTACTCGAGAGGATGTTCAAGTTGGCAAACGTCATGTCCAAGGCTTGGAACGCGCCGACGACGCCGTCCGACATGGTTTTGTGCTGCGTCCACGCGATTGCCGTGAGAACAGCAACGACGAGTGAAAAAAACACAAACACGAGGGCCGGCACGAGTTTGCCGCACTTGGAGTACCTAGCGCGCGCCAACGATTGAATGACGACACCATGCCGACGAAAGGGCACATCCAACGCACCCGTGCTTGAACGGCTTGGAGCCATAGCATCGACCAAGGCCACACCGACACGTGATGAAGCCCGTCGTCGCAACCAGCACCACCATCGACATAAACACCCCCGGGATCACGTACGGAACAAGCGACTCCATGTACCTAACGAGGTACGTGTTATGCCAAAACAAAGCGCGAAACAGCGACCAGGTACGAAAGAACTGTGAGAGGGCGACGCGTCAGGCAGGGACGAGACGTACCCGGTGTGAACCCATTCCGTCGCGGCGTCGACGACGGCGGCCGAAAAGTACGGCTCCCGGTTGTCGGTGGGAGGGGGCCAGTAGCACGTCGCCTTGCGCTCACAAAGGCCGAGCGACGAGCAGTTGCCTGGACCCGACACTCGGACACACGATGTCCCCGTTGCGTCCATGGCGGCATACGGATCGTCTGGAAACGAGTCGGCGATGAGGCGACGGGGACAAGACGTCGGCATATCATCTCGTACTCGGGGCGACGCATCGTTCCTTGTCGGCCTCCGTCAGCGTCGACGCACACCCCCACGTCGCCATCAAATCTACCCAACGCCCATGCCCCGTTAGAGTGCTACGTACACCACAATTGTCCTGCACAGAGCGGGTCGGCACGTACGAAGTGACGTTCGAAACCAGTTTTGGTCGTAGCCGCGAATCGTGTCGACGTGATCGACCAGCGTCTGCGTCGCTGCCTGCGAGTACGCTTGGGCGTCTTGGACTAGCGAATCCATCTATGGACCCGCCACAACAACGTGACCATCTCCCGCCAACAACCCACTCTTGAGCACACGTCCGCAACTACACTACTTACACTGAGCGCTCCATTGGAGCTGGTCGAGGTCGACAGCGTCAACAGCGACTGCGTGATGAACGGCGCCATGTCCGCGACCAGCAGCGCACACGTGGATGGAGCAAGGTCCTTGCACGTCGTCAAGTTGGAACAAGTCGCAGGATGCGCGGCCAGCGCGACGGCCATGGCGCTAGCCCACACGACGCGAGGCATGCCGACCGAGGTTGCCAATTTCAAACGCATTGGTTACGTGTTCGAGGATGGAATGGTATTTATAAAACACTCGACGCCGCAAGTAGTTTCTATCGTGTTGGGTTTGGAGCGAGTTGGTGGGAACCGTTGTCGGCGGCAGCGTCGTCGAGAGACGGTCGAGTGAGACGGCGGTCGATAGAGCAGCGCCAGCGATGAAGGCCACATCTAGTCGCTGTCGTCTTCGTCGTCCGATAGGGACCATTGAATCGTTTGCACTTTGTCCGCTTCGCTCTCTTCGTCGGACGAGTCAGAGCCACTACGTTGAATGAATCCACGCATCCTCAGCACGGCACGCGCGAGTCGTACCCATCGTTGTCGCTCGAGCTCGAGCTGCTGTCCACTTCCTTGGCCTTTTTGGCGTCGGGGCTGTCGGCCTCCCCTGGTAGAGAACGATCGTGAGGACAGCCAGGGGCCATGGAAGACATCAACAACGGCGTCGTGCATCAATGCATGCAACGTGGCCGTACTCTCAGCTTTGCGCTTCTTTTGTGCGTCCAGCTTGACGCGAAGCGCGTCCAAAATGTCGGAGGGAATCGGGTCGTTCGGTCGCAAATGACCGGGCAGCGCAATGTCGAATTCCTGTATTCCCATCAAATCACCTTGGCCGACATGGATAGACGACTCACGGCAAACACGGTGGGGCCGCGCAACTTGACCAGAGCCTCTACCGACAGCTCGACGTCGCTAACGATCACGTCGAGTGAGGACGACCGTGGGTGTCAACAACGAAGAGGCTCACCCGTCTCGCCAGCCTGGTAGGATGGCGTTCGTATCTCCGGTGGCGCCGCCCAAGCCGGTGTAAGCGATCGCTCCTGATATACCGCGTTCGACCAACGGGCTCGCCAACCCGCCTTGTTGGCCCTTCTTGAACGAGTCGTACTGCGACTCTTTCGTCACTGTCGCTTCGATAACTACGATGTGGGATGGAAATGCATATCGGCTGGTTCAGAGCGTAAGACAGCGCCATGCAGCACGTACTGCCGCGGCTGAGGACGCCAGCTCGCATCATTTCGGGCGTTGGAGCCGGCGGGACAAAGCCAAACATGGGATACTACAAAAAGATATACGGCATGATTCGAACGGGATGGTTGTCGTGAGGGAGCGGACCTCTGGCTTCCAGTTGGGCGGCGCGCTCGTTGAACCGGCGATCTTGTGTGCATATGCCACGACCTCTAACGGATCCAACACGACTTTCGACGAGGAGTCCTGGTGGCACTGCTCCAATGTCCGTCGATGCTTGGCCAAAGCGCTCGCGATGGACTGTTGCCTGGTGTATCGCACAGTGATTTCGTGTGCGTAAGATTCACGAAGAGCACCATCTCGTGGAGGCGTACCCGGATCGAAGCTCCTTGGCATATCGCACGATCTTTTGTTCTTTGTCGGCAATCTGTGCTTTGAGCGCGTCCAGTTCCTTCTGTGCGGATTGATGCTGGTTCACTAGGCATGGACGGGATGTCATGTCATGATGCGCCTGCAGAACAAGATGGGCTGGACGTACGCTGCTTGACCGTGTTGAGGAGCTGCTTGTCCTTGGCCACAACCAAATCAAAGTAGTCGTTCGTCGAACGTAGCATGGCAGGGTTCACATTGGCGCTCGTGTGGGAAAGCGATTCGAGGAGCTTGTACGTGAGGAAGCGGTGCTCGTTGAGGCTGATCTCGACGCGCTCCCGCATCGTTCCAGACGACATGGTCGCCGCCGGTCCTCAAGTAAAATGGCAAGGAGCATTTAGATTGGCAGAATTCCATCGATTTTAACCAATCGATGCATTGGATTCGATTTCATGCCATCTGCTTTTGGCCAGCATGTTCCAGGCGGCGCCAATTCTGAGAGACGACTTGGCGCAAACGACTCGTTGCTGAAGCTTAGCCACGGAGTGAAGTTATCGCGCAGGAACGGGAGTGTGTCCAAGACATCGATGCCGTCGTCCAAGGCTGACCAAGCGGATCGCTCGTTTGGGCGAGTTCAGGTCGGCAAAACCAATGAAAAGGTCAAGCCGAGAGCGAACGGAGCGCGTGGGAACAATGCAGACTTGACGAATCACCACGACTCTTCGCAGCTAGCAACGCGACGTTTGGTGCTCCCGTCGTTGGAGGGATGGCGACGTCCGCCATGCATTGACAGTTGTCGCGGTTTGTCTTGTGGAAACGCTTCGGTTCTCGGCATCCGCTGCGTTGGGCAGTGCGTGGCCATTGAACACGTCTTGGCTCACTTGGTGTACTTCTTGTTCGATGCGGTGACAGTATGATTTAGAGGCAGACGCTTGGATCGAGACTTTGGAGGTTACAGTAACCCGATCGCGCCGAAGACACGCCAGCCCGCAGGGACCCTTGCCAATTCGTTCTAGTACAGAACTGCCAAAAAGTTGCTCTCGAGACAGCCTCGTCGAAGTCCACCGCCATGGGCTTCATGTAGCTAGATATTTCGTCGCATCGCTCTGCCTCGTCAGCATGGCGCGTAAGAAAGGCCAAGGTGCTGCCAGCTATGTGGAATGTCGGCGGGGGGAACCAGTTGGGAATTGGTTTGCGGACCCAGTGCGCGGCAAAAGTCGACTCTTGCCCAAGTTAACATCGAGTTGACCATCCCCCTCCAACGTTTGCTAGCCGTGTGCCGTTCATAAGCACTACCTCGGACGGCCACGAGCAAGTGCACCGAGGTGCCATACCACATTTCCCCCGCCTGTATTCGCCAAACGAAGCCCCAGACTGTCGCTACTTGAAGCAACAAATGCCTCCCTCGACCACGTCCTTCAGCGCCGTGTTCCTACTTTCCCTACAGTCCACATACACGATCAGTTCACGTGTGTAGCTCGTTCGCTCGTGCGTAGCATACGTGGTGGCAAACCCTGACTACAACATCCTTTGTGCCACTGCCCGTGGGTCGTACGAGAACGGAGGGGGATGTTCAAGGTAAGAATGTGCCAAGAACGTTCTGTCAGAAAAATAGACGGCACTTTCCAGGTGAGAAACTTCTGTGTTTGGCCGGAGTGGTGTGCTGTACGAACGGAATCAGTGGCATACCCGACCGCGTCCCGCAGCTCACCTCCACCACTCAAATCTCAACGCAAACGCGGTGTGCTGCGGACTAGGATCCCTTGTTCTCCGCCCTTCCTGCACGTTCATTTTACGACGAATTCCTTTGTATTGCGGATCATTATTGGTATAACGTCGAGGTGTCTTTGGTGTTGAAGTCATTTCATTCTTCGGGCGCACGCGACCGCATTCGAATCAATGCCGTCGCAAGCCAGTTTTTGCTGTATTTCGCGAGCCCGTGGTCTTGTAGATACCGCGCCACCGCCGTGTGGCAGTGGATCGTCGCCAACGCCAACCCGTGGTTCGTACAGCCTTCGCCACGACGTTTGTGCAGGTATTCGACCATTTCAAGATTCCCGTGCTTCGCCGCCGCATCCATGGCAGCTGTGGTGCATCCGACGTGGCCGCGTTCGTGAAGGAACTGGAGTACGGCCAAATTATTGGTATGAGCAGCAACGTCGAGAAAGTTGCCACGAAGCGTCGCTAAGTTGAACAACGTATGCAATCTATCGAGTAGGGAAATGTTGCTGTAGTACACGGCGTCCATCGCAACCAAGAAGCGCATGTACCCCAGCCGGTCAAACAGGCGGCGGAGGCGGCTCACGTCGTGAGCTTGGAGCCAACAGGTCAGCATCTCATGCACGTGGTCCATGGTCAGCAAAGCTTTCATGTCCGCACCACGCCGTCGAAGACGCCTCGGATCAAACACGAGGAAGGGCAGCATGTCTTGGGCAATTCCATTTTGATACGACGCGATCATAGCCATCATGTCGGACGACAAGATCACCTGGGTCCACACCGACAGCGAGGTTTCAGGTCGCGCTCGTTTGCACCGCCGGTTGTCCACTTCGGGGCGGTCATGGAAACTCTGAGGCGTGTGGTCCCGATGCGCCAAGAAGTGCTCGACGTTCATGTTTGCGCTGGGCACCGTCAAAGTCACAGTGCACGTGCCAGCTCAACCATCACGTACATGCATTCATTGGGGCCATCCGAATGTATGTCGCTCGCCTAAACCAAAAACATGATTGGCTGGCCGGTACATGCATTCAGAGGAATGTTGATCATTTGTGCTGGAATGGCCAACGCGAACGCGGCGGCAAGCATGACGACGAGGGAAGGGGGGTATATGGTGCCTGCTGCAATGATTAATGCGCGCCACGGTGCAGGTCATGCCTGGGAAGTTGACACAACGTCATGCAAGCGAGTTTAGTTTACTTGGACGTGCGTTGGAGGCGTCCTGCCGCAGCTCCATCGTGGATTGCAGACGAGCGCATGCCTGTGCGCGAGGCAAGGTCCCTAATGCAAATAATTGGAGAGATGGTAGCGATCGCTACGCTCTTTAAATTGTGCGTGTGCTGCTGTCGAGTTCGTGGCGATAACGATATCTTTCAACTGGTCGGGACGCCTTCTCGCGCATGATGCAGGACGGTAGCGATGAAAGGCACGAACATGGACAAGAAATAGAAAGTCTTCGGTCCAAGAGGCACCATTGTGCCTACTAGCACCGCGATTCCATCAGTCTGTCCATGGCGTCTTGTGATGCACGGTCGTGGGGTTGCGGCGGGAGTACAAACACATTGTCATGTTCCTGTCAAGTTTTGCTACGCGTCCTTCTTGCGCATGATGCGGGCAAGCTCTTCTTGCTTCGTAGCTCGCGCCATGTACAGCACCATCTCGACCATCATCATGGAGATTGCCCCTGCGAGACCAGCCAACAACCTCTACACGCAGCGTGAGCCGTAGAATCCATCGTGGAACATACCGTTGTTTCGTTGTCCGTGACGGTGCGCGAGATGTAGTACGCGACGAAAAATGCGGTCGCCATGGCCGCGATCATATTGATCCCGATGGACACGTGCTGAGTGACTGACTTCATCTCCTTTTGCATTTCGCTATCACGTTTCGGTTTCGAGAGCTTGCCCAACATCTTGTTGTATTCCTTTTCTTCCTGGACACGTTGCAGGTACTGCCGTCGGGTTTCCAAGTACTTCGTGCGCTTTGCATTCTCGCGTTGTTCTGAGTCAAAATTATCACACGAACGCCTGGGATTCCTGCATACCTGAGTTCTCGCCAGCCTGAATCGATGCTCCATGCAGCAACGACCTTACAGACTTTCCACTTGAGGCGCGAGCAGACTTGAGATGCGCCACTGCTTCGTCAAGCGGAACCCGCTTGCCGCCTTCGCTCCACACGAGTTCCATCCTGGAGTGTTTTGTCGAACACGACGATTTGGTGCTATTCCGGTTAAAATCCGGAAAAGCCTGTACTGTACCTCTTTGTCTGGTTGGGCATTTTTGTCTATTTTTTTGATTGGCTAAATCCCGTTTTTAATTGACTCGAACGCTCAAAATGGAGAAATTTGACAATTCCACACGATTTTTCGTCGCCTAAACCCCACACAACAGATTATGCCGACGTGAACTGCATGCAAGGTTCGCTCGTCAGGTGCAAAAGGCCCTTTCACGGGCCATTGTTATACTCGTCGGTCGTTGGAGTTCTCGACCGCATACTGCATGAGCCCGAGTGGTCATTTACAGTTCAAGGGGAATGAATTGAATGGTCGCTGTTATGCCATTATTGAAGCCAGGATAGTATTCATATTTTCTTGCATTTTGGTTAATGACCGTAGTCAATGTGATTGTCGTTTCAAATTGCGGGCTCACGATGGAGACATGAAGACACATCAAGTGAAATAAGCTGGAGGGGGTAGAGTGTCGAATGTCTTCGTACCACCACATCCTTTTAATTTTGTGCGTATCTTTTAATACCTGTGCTAAGCTATGTGTTAATTGGCGTTTTGTTCCTTTATTCGATGTCAGTCGAAATAGTGTAAATTGTTTTGTTTTGACAATTGTATTACCATAACTCACATACTCCAAGAAGACAAGGTCATGTATTTTCATATACAAGTATCAGACTTCCAAGTACTACTTTTGTCCCACCTCATGCCTCGTGACTTCTACAACGTGCTCATAAAGTCACATAACGTCGGCTCTCAGTGATCGGCCGAACTCTCAGTGATCAGCCGAGCTCTATCACCCAATAGAATCACAAGAAACTTGTGAATTGGATAAAATTTGTTACTCCAACAAATATACCCCTCATAATTTTTATGGTGAGAATATACATTAGAATTCAGAGGCAACAAGTGTGTCAACCTTGAAAAATGCCGCCAAGACCCTGTACACACCCGACGAGATTGCAGCAGCAGTGAGCGACGTGATCAAGAAGCAACACACCATTCCATCCGGTGCCATAGCATATGGCATCCCTCAACGAACGGTACGCACACATGTGAGAAGAGCCAAATCCGGCTCTACAACGACCAAAGCAATGATGGGACCAAAGCCAATCCTGCCATGCTTGTGTTCGTGTTTTTGTTCTGCCATTGTGTATTGAGTAGCAGCAACCTGGTGGTGCAACATGTAAACTTCAAACAATGGTAACTGAAAATTCCAATTTTCAACAATTTTTGGCTCATTCTGGAAC